GGGTTAAATTATCTATGTTTTGATTTTGGATTGTTAATATTGAATTTTCTTTTTCTGACCAGGACTGTAAAATGATGATTTATACCTGTAAAAGTGATTTATTTGGTTTAGGTTAAAATACATATATTATTACTATTGGCCTTTTATATGCCTAAGGGATCTTTTAGGCTTTACTTTTTAGAAAAAAAACAGAAGTTAAAATGCAAAATAGACCTATTTGATTAAGTTTAAATACATAGTTTATTATCACTAGCACTCTTAATGCTTTTGCTGATTAGACTGATTGTTGAATATTTTTCTTAATTTGGTTATTGTTTAGGGATGAGAAAGAGGATGAAGAGGGCTTTTTTTAGGAATATTAGAGGAGGTGTTAAGTTACTATTAATGCATATACTTGTTTGGAGGGAGGAGGAAGTAATCTTTTATATTTCTTTCTCTTTTATCTTTCTTTTTTTCTTTTCTTTGCAGGGTTTTTAGTTCTGTATTAGTTTTTATATATATAAACTTTAATAAAAATATTATAAAAATACACAATAGAAAAATAAAAAATAAAAATAAAACACATAAGGCATAATTTAAGCAATCATCTACATAGCCAGAAGACTGGCTCAAAGCCAAGTTTTCAAGGTCATATGAAAGGCCAACAGGGGCGGGGCCAATCTAATCTCGGGGGGGGATGATGTTCCAAAGGGCAGGTTCCACAGCAGAAAAGGTTCTCCTTCTGGGCCATGCCAGTTGACACTCTCTAGCCAACAGTACTCAGAGCATGCCCTTCCTGCCAGATCAGGTAGGACGGGTAGAAACAATTGGGGAGAAACAGTCCCATAAGTAACCCAGTCCTAAGCCATGAAGGGATTTAAAGGTGACAACCAGCACCTTGAATTGCACCCGGAAGCACACTGGAAGCCAATGCAGCTCATGGAGCAGTGGTGTCACACGTGCTGAGTAACTGGCACATGTTATAAGACTTGTGGGGGTTATAAATTATTAGGCTTTAAGAAATTTGGAGCCTTTCTTTGGCTATCTATAATATTTAATTTATAAAACATACAATATGCTACAGCCACCTCACTGCAATATTCAGGCAGGAATTGCAATATTTTGATAGCAGAAACACATTTAACATTTCTTCAGAATGACGGATGCAAAGTGAATGAGGTCACATCATGTACAAGTATTAGGTTGTTATTGCTTTTGCTTTCATTAAACAAATAGGATCAGAAATCCTTGTCAATGTAGTATACCAACAGAAATGGTCCCACCTTCTGCCCTTTACTATTCTAGTATGCACAGCTGCTGATAATGGGCAAAATCTGATTCAGGAAAAAATTGATACAATTAGGAAGAGCAACAGTGCCCTGCTCAAAGTTCTTTTGTGCCACAAATCCTTATACTGGTAGTCCTTGAGTTATGACCATTCATTCAGCGACCATTGTGAAGTTATGGTGGCGCTGAACAAATGGCACTTATGCCCGGTTCCCGAAGTTAGGGCTGTTGCAGTGCCACTGCAGTCACATGATAAAAATTTGGGCGCTTGGCAGTGTGCCCACACTTACAACTGCAGGGACGTTTCAATTCCCCCCAGCTGCCTATCTCCCCCCGTTTCTGTCCTTTTCGCCCCCTGCATTCTGCAGCCGCCCTGTGCTCCACCACCCTCAGCTGACCTTCACCATCTTCTTGGTCCGGCTGCTGACCAAGCGTACCCGGCCTTGCCCTTGGTGAGGCAGCTACTGGCTGCACAAGGCCTTCTTCCCGAGGTTGTGCATGGTGGGTTCCTCGCAAGACCTCGGGAAGAAAGCCTCACATGGCCAGCAGCTGCCTTGTGAAGGGCCAAGCCAGGCATACCTTGTCAGCAGTGGGAGCAAGAAGATGGTGATGGTCAGCTGGGGTACAGAGCGCAGGACAGCAAGGGTGACTGCGGCTGGGGCTTTGCACTATGCTGCTGGGCTGGGATGGCTGGGGCTTTGTGCCGAGATGCTGGGCTGTGGCTTCGTCCCACGGTCCTGGGCTGAGGCAGCTGTGGCTTCCTAGGGTGGCTGTGGCTTCACACTATTGGGCTGTGGCAGCTGCGGTGGCGTCACACTGTGGCTCAGGGGCTGCACAGTTCTGGGCTGCTTGCTGCCCTGCAAGGCAGGGTACAGGGTGACCAAAAGGGCAGAGATGGGGGGGAATAGGCTTGAAGGGGAGCAGTCCTTTATCTTGGAAGAACCAAGGCTAAGGGCTGGGAGAGGCCAAGCTGGGAATGGCTTGGATCAGGGTGGGTCCTTGGCTAACGACTGGTGAGATTTGATTAACAGCAGCAATGGGGAGTGCCAGGACAGCCACATGACGTCACACTACACAACTGCATTGCTTAGCAATGGAAATTCTAGTCCCAATTGCCACTGTAACTCAAGGATTACCTGTATATAACAGACTATCAAGTTTATTTATCAAGATATTCCCTTCTGCAGAGATGGCTAATACTGATTTTTGGAGATTGTGTGATCCGCTTGCTTTTAGAGATAAAATGTGATTCATCAGAACAGATCCCTTCATAGCATGGACAGCACTTTTAAATGGAGCCTGACAATATCTCTATTTGTCTTTGATCAAAAGCTGTTATTTATTTAGGGCTTCTATGTACAAAAGTCTGGGTTGTTTCATGTGACTATTCATGCAGAATCTTTGTTTTTGAAATAATTTACAGAATTTGATAAAATGAAGTAAGAAATCAAGACATGCTGTTACAGAAGCTGAGAAATTTTGTAGGGCTGTATAGTTCAGCAAGCTTGTGAAACACTGCAATCCCAAATGTATTTGTTAAAAATCAATATAAGTTTCAGCACAATTTCCTTCAATTGTTTTGACCATAAGTCTACCAACAGTGTAATATATTTAACATATTATTTGGAAAACATGGTGTCCAAATAAGCAACTTTTCAGAAAGGTAAAAATAGTATTTTTAGAATTAAGAATGTATTCTATTTTTTCAGTACTATTACTAACCTTAAAATGTTGATCTATGTCATCTTCAATATCATTTTCAATCTCAGATTCTGTTTCGGTGTCATCATTGTCATCACTTTCATCTACTACGTCATCCACTGTGATATAAAATGCTCTATAAGTAGGGCAGATGTACGTTTTCTACAATATGTATATCCCAGAAAAGAAATGATGCATGTGAAACTTTTCACTCATCAACTGGAACCTAATACTACACAAAAACTTAACTTTCCATGACACCATGTGCTGTATATTTAATTATGTAGATTCTTCATGTAAAAGAAACAAGTTTATTAAATATTTTCCAGAAAATTCATTAGGTAGGCTACAGAATGACAGCATTTACTGTATATTAAATTCTTCATTAGTAGTTTACTCTTTGGAAAACTTTTTTGAGAGTCTGGGAGGAGTCCTAAACTAGATGAACTAGAGACAGAAGTTGCTGAAAACCATGTCACAGTGCCATTCATGTCCTGCTCACTAAAGACACATCAGTTCATATTCAGCAGTTCTACTCAATCTACCTGAACTACACCCTGCCACGTTCAGGAGAGTCCCAGAAGTTTTCAGAAAACATTTCTATGGGTGGGAAAGTAGTATATGGCTAACCCTGCCATTTTCCATCTAGGAGTATTTCCTAGCAGTATTTTCCATCTAGGAGGCCTTTCTTCAAGAGGGTGATTTTCAGCTCCAATCTACGTGGCCGCTAGTACTATACCAAGTGCCAAGCTTTTCCAGTGATAATATGATGCCACAAGCAGAAAAGGGACAGACATGCATGCAGTCTCTACAATGCTGCCATAGGCTTTCTGCAAAGAGGCTCACCTAAGACCAACAATCTTAACATTTCAGAACCAGGCAAAGATACTCCTCTTCAACCAGGCATATTAATAGTTTAGTTTATTATTTTTAAGCATCTATGCTGTGCTAATTATTGTGTTTTGTTGTCTGGTACCTACCAATTTTGTTGTCTGGTATCTAATCTACCCACAATACACTTTCATTATTTATTTATTTTATTCAGTACCATTTTATTCCATAGAAAAAGCTTATTTTGTATAAAAGAGGAACAGAAACATAGCTCTTTTTTTTTTTAGTTAAGACAGCACACACATTGCTTTCCAATCTACACACCTATCTCTTGTTAACTTCAAGCTTGAAGAGTTATAGAATGATTCCAAAAGCATGTAGTCTCCATATCTGAGGAGCAAGACATCTTTCTCCTCACTGCAGCTGCCCTCTACATAGGGAGGGCAAAAAAGATGATGGGACTGTATGCTTTTAAAACAACTGCACAGAGGACCAAAGATGGTGGTACTTCCCTTTTTAAATTTTAGATTTATAATGTAACTATTTTATCTGATTCTTTAGGTCAGACAAATATATTAAAATAATGTTTTAAAACTCTGAAGGTAAAGAAATACCTCTAATGGTTGCATAAGTGAGAGATACCCATTAACCAATTTCTTTAACTAACTTCGGGTAATTTTGTTTCTCCCACTATAATGCCATATGGCATGGCTCTCATTGTTGAGGAGTATCCCCACCCCACTATCCAGAAATGACTGGGCGAGAGTGATAAATGGAGCTGCGACAAGGAGGGGGAATTTGGGTGAGCTATTTCAGTTGAAAAAACCAATAGATAAAACATGTTGACAGAAGATAAAATCACTGAAAATTATTTGAGTTTAATAATTTGATTTTGCTCAGTAGAACTTAATTTATTCTACATATAGATATAACTTTTAGTTATGCAGAAATCATACAGTGCAGGATTGCATATTCCTTTTTAAAAAATGGACTATTATTTTAGAAGAGAGAACTTTTATTGAGATATCAGGATTTCAGAAACAAACATAAAATACCCAAATTAGCACAAATTAGACAAGACCACAATGTTTCAAAATTGCTCGTACCTTCAGGAGGCAAACTATATAGCTGATACACTGGTCCATTAACAGGGATAACAGGTAGCTGGAAATGGAAAGCACTTTTAATGGTTGGTAGTGGAAGACGATTTTTAGGATAGCATTTCCTCATTATCAGACTGGAAGTGTTGACAAGTGGATCAAGAGTTCTTACTGCAAGGCATTCCTATTACAGAAAATAAACTTATATATTAAATTACAGAACATAAAATATTTTACGAACTACCACTGTTCTGTTGAGGTTACAAAGAAAGTATATCTTAATTCACTTAGAATGGAATTCTACCTCTTTTATGTACTTATATACTATATAGTACTTATGTACTATATAACATGGATATTAAGATGCTGAAACATTAAAACAAGAAACAGCAACAAAAATATTGCAATTATTTCAAAGTGCAGAAATTCTCATGCATAGTTTCTACACTAGAAAATCTAAAATGTTGAAATATAGGTCTTGTCTATTTTGAAGACCTCCTATAGAATCAGCCTGATTATCTGTTGTGTTCCAACACCATCTCATTGTTTAGAAGTCCTAAGAACAGATAAGCCACAAACAAAACAAGTGTCACAGTTGAACACTTCCCATGCAACTGACTGAAAATAGGTGGTACTTGTTTCAGAGTAAATGAACAGAGAACAAAATATTTTATGACACAGATGCAGCAAACATAAAAACAACTTCAAATACTTTTTGTTCCTATGTACTAATATCCTTCTTTCATCAGCCAGCTCGCATTAATTCTCAGGATCTTCTAGAGGGAAGTCAAACAAGCAGAGAAATTCACGTCCTCACACTGGAACAAAGTTAGGCCCATATGATATGAGTAGCAGTTGGATTTACTGTGAAGTGCCGTTCTGGTCATCAGAAGATGGAGGTGACATTAAAGAGTTTAACTCCACTTCTTTTGATCAGAAGGCAGGGCTAAGATTTCTGCATCCTGGGGAGGTAGCCCCTTCCAACTCAGTCATGCTTTCTAGAAAAGAAGGACTTCTCTTTCCTCTCAGCTCCACCTTGATCAAGAGGCAGGGGTTTGTATCAATTTAAAACACAGTGAATTAAGAAATAAGAAACAACAAGCTAGAATCAACAAGGGAGCAGAGTTCAATCTTGTGATAAGAAAGAGTTTTGGCAGCCTTTATAGGAGAATGCTTTCTAGAAAAGAAGGACTTCTCTTTCCTCTCAGCTCCACCTTGATCAAGAGGCAGGGGTTTGTATCAATTTAAAACACAGTGAATTAAGAAATAAGAAACAACAAGCTAGAATCAACAAGGGAGCAGAGTTCAATCTTGTGATAAGAAAGAGTTTTGGCAGCCTTTATAGGAGAAAATGGGCAGCCTTCTTTTTTTTCTCTATTTGTTTACCCACTCCTGATTGGCTGACTCTTTTCCTACCTTTTTTTGTTTTTTCAAGTCAGTGTCTGTTTACCACCAGGATGTTGCAGTTGGTGAAAAATACTATGTCCAATTTGCTAACAGGCAACACTCAGTTGAGTGCACATTACATTTATACTTCAGGCCCTTCAATATGTCCAAAAGGCTTCTGGGTGTAATTCTAAAGTGGCAGTTTTGATCTTGAATAGATAACTACAGGATCACATTCTCTAACTACAGTTAACCTGATGAATTGGTTGTCCTGGGAAAGGCTGCTGGAGTATTCCATTTCCATGAAATGAGGGAGGCAGAGGCAAGAAGGTGCTCCTTGTCAGCAGCTGCAGCTGCCCTTTGGAATAGAGTCCTAATCGTAATCAGACTTATCCCCACATTGTTCTAATTTGAGAAAATCTTCAAAACTGAGATAATCCATATAGCATCTGTTGAGTGACCAGATACCGCTGAGTCTGCATGTATTTGTGGGATGCAATTTTTGTTCGGACTATTTGTTATTTAATTTTTTTTTATAAATTTCTTACTCTGGTTGTTTTACATTACGGTGGATCTTTCATGGATGTTTAATTTTTTAATAGGGATGTTATATTGTTTATTATGGATAATTTATGTATGCAGCATTGTTAACTGCTGGCAATCCTATAAGACATGTCAGTATAGAAGTTGAATAAATAAGTAAATAAACCACTGAGGGTGCCTTCTTGACAGAAATGAAAAACTTTTTGGTCAGAAAGAGGTAGGGGTAATAAAAAACACTAAGCCATACAGGTAGTCCTCGCTCAGCGACTCCAATTAGTTCCAACAACTTGGTCATTAAGCAAAATGGTTGCTAAGTGAACATGTGACTGAGAGAGAGAGAGAGAAAGAGATGCTGCAAAGATCACTGGTTGCTGCCATCTCATTCAGAAAAAATTATCTCATATAGGGACTTGTGACTCCCCCCCCCCCCCTTTTTTTTTTTTTTT